ATAGAGGAACTTTGAAGTGTGTTTTAAAAAATTATTACCCAGTCATCCAACAGGGAGGACCTCACAAAAGCCCTACCTTCCCACAGCTTCGTGGCCCAGCTGGCCTTTCCATGTTTCACTCTCTGCTTTTTGAGTCCTGTTGGGTTCTGACTTTTTTTTTACCATGTGCTCTCTCTTTACTGAAACTTTTTCTGCCTCCTTACCAAAATCTCCTTCCAAAGTTGCAGTTTAGTTTTGCTTCCTTGGCATGTTAAGGAAATGCTCCACAGAATAAACTTTTTAGCATTAAATCAAGTTTTCTTTCTTTCAATCTCACCCAATAGAGCTGTAACTTGTAGGACAAGGGTAGGAAGATAGTGATTAGAGCAGAAAAGAAAGTAATTTGACACACCACTTTCAATTTTTGCACAGGGACATAGCCATGCCATCTATGTGTAAGGGCTCTATAAACCATGGCAGGCCAGGGCTTGGGGAAAAGTAACTGCCTTATCTGATGGTTCTTGAAATCAACTCTTCTCTTCCTCTTGGATGTGAGAATCACTGATCCCAGGGGGAGTCAACGTGGACAGAGATGGGGGGTAAATCTAAAATAAATTTAAAATTTACAAATAAGTACATGAACATAAACACTCTCCCTGTAAAGCTGCAAAGCACAGGGATATTAAAGTGTGGAGTCCCTGGGTCTGGGGCCCAGAAGCTGCTGGCCAGCTACTTCAACGGAATGACTGGGGTGTGGAACACCACAATGGTTGAAAAAGTAGCTCCAGTCCCAGCCAAATGCAGGGTGCCGAATCTTCCTGTCTGGAAAGCGCTCAGTTTCTACCTCCCCAAGCCATCAAGCGCCAGACCTCAGGAGCACCAGGCGCGAGTCTCCCGCGCCACAGTAGTGCTGGGTTGTGGCCCCGGGGCGTGTCCTCCGCGCGTCGCTGGGGCTCCGCAATGCTCCAGTGTTTCCAGCTCCAGCGATGCCAGTTCAGCCACTCCAGGGCTAGGGCTTGGTGCTGGCTGTAGCCCTAAGCGCTTACAGTCTTTTACAGCTGGGGCCACCTTGTGGCGTCTGCAGCCCCTCCCCCTCCGCCTTGCTCCCTTGGCTCCGCTTGGCATTTTGCAGGTGCTTCTTTGTGTTGTTTCTGGGATCTGAGACCAAGGGCGTCATTCCAGTCTCCTTTAAACGTTGAGAAATGTTAATGAACACCATTTTGCCCCTGAAACCCCCCTGAACTCAACCCGCTGGCTATATATAGGTGAGGTCTGGGATTTCTCACTTGTGGTCTGACGCCCCCTGGATCATCCTCGTCCCATTTCAGAACTCCTGACCAACATCATCCCCAGGTGGACTCAACGACACATCTCCAGCTGCCCACCTTCCTAGCCGCAGCTCCAGGGGCTCTGTCCACAATGTTGGCCCTTTCTGGAGGCCACAGTCTGCTTGCCACTCCCGTCTCCTACTCTCCTCCTATCAGGCTGGCCGTATGGATAACCCAGGAACTGGACAATTGTAGCCAGTTCTCAGACACGCCAGAGGCGGGGCTGAAGATGAACTTGGTGTGATCCAAAAGGACCTTGTGCCACCCCCAGGGAGCGTGGCCAGTGAGAGTGGTGGTGCATGCTGGCAGAGGCAAGGCTCCCAAAATTTCTTTCCAATCCATACCTACGTGAAGAAATAGCAATGGCCACAACTTATTACATGTCTCTAATCTCTACAACAACCTTCCTTTTAAAGTGCCCATTTTACAGAGATGTTAAGTAGCTTGTAGGAGGCCACAGAGCTCAGACTCTGAGAAGAAGAAGAAACGTGGCTGTTAGTATTCAAACCCAGACTATTCCTGGGTTTGAATAGTCTGGGGCCGGGGCTCTTTGAGGTTGCCCAAGCTGCTGTCACGTGCACCGTTTCTGGGTAGTCCTTTACATCAGGGTCTTCTTCATTTGGGAAACAGATCGATCGAATTCTTCCCGCATTCCCTCTTCTCTCGATAGCACACGCTCACGCTCCAGTTACTGCTTCTGAAAACAAATCTGCAGTTGACTGTCTCTGGTGACTTCTGGCGCCCAGGCTCAAAGCTTTGCACCCAGCCTGTACACACCTCTGCTCCCTTGAACATCTTGCTCAGTGTCACTAAGACGAGCAGCTTAAGACAGCTCTGCACCCCATTTTCTAGTCCAGAGAAAGCCTCGCCCTGGGCTCCCCGCCGGTTGCCCACCCTGCCGCGCTTCGTGGGCGTTGCTGCTCCCAGGCCCTGGTCTGCCACTGCCCGCCGCCCAGGCCTGTGGACGCGAACCCATCTGCAGCGAAGTACTCGGGCTGATAGAGTCGCAGGCCTTCCCTAAAGCTTACTGCGAGCAGGATTTGAAGGGAAAAGGAGGCCCGCCTGACACTTCGTTTCCCTGCATAGTACAGGGACAGCAGGCTGGTGTGGAATTTAGGATGAGCACAGTCCTCCTGAAACCCCACAAGCCAGGCCTGCAAAATCTTCACAGCACCGAAGGGGGTGGGGTGGCTGAGGGCTGTCGGTGCGTGCTTGGGGTTGCTGCGAGCCGAGGAGCCCAGAGCGCTCCGGGCCCCTCTGGGTGCTGTCCTCCCCGGCGCGTGGGTGCCCCGCCGCCAGTCGCGCGTGAACATCTCTCAGGGACATCCAACTGGCACCTCCCTGTAGGGACCCGCACCGGCAAATTTCCATTTTCTATTTTGGGAGTGAGAAATAAAAGCGACCAAGCTCTTGCCCTAATCTCCCGCCTCGGGTCCCTCTGGCTAACGCTGGACTGGTGGGGATGGGAAGGCCGGGTCCGCACGCCGGGGAAGTGGGGGTCGGGGGACTTCCCGCGCGCTTGGTCCCCGCACCGGCGCCCGCAGCCTGCGGTCTTAGCAGGTTTTCGCCCCGCGCGTCCCTCTGCGGAGGCAGGCCGAGGCATCGGAAAGGGGTTTCGGGGGATTTCTGAGCAACGACAGATGAATGATCTTTTCCCCACCCAAGCGCACCTTCAAGGACCCTCTCACAGCCGGTCGCCGCTGGCGAAGGAGGGCAGCGCCCCACCGGGCCGGGCTCCGACCCTGGGGGGCGGGGTGGGAGCGCCTAGACACTTTGCGCGGGCGTTTACTGCAGAAGTAGCAGGAAATCCCCTCTCCTAAGAGAGGGACAATGAGCTAGGACTAAAGGGAATTCAAGTGGAAAAATCCGTGAATGCAAGAACAACCCACAGCAGAGTGAGAGGTTTACATTAAGCTCTGTATGGTTCTTTTCCTTTCCGGTAAAAGTATTATTTTCTCTGACAAATGTCTGGAGAAACTTTCCTTCTCATGCTATTCTGCTTGGACATCAGACGGCATTATCTCTTTTTTTTTTTTCCTGCAACACTGGCCAAACTATCCAAAGAATGTAACTTCTTGCTCTTCCCTTAAAACATTTTAGAAGGATAGTTATTTGAGTTAAATGATTTCACTTCCAAAATTCTACAAATACTTGTTAGGTTTTCAATTAAATTCATTTTTAAAATAGTACTTTTTAGAGAATACCACCACGTAAAACTTGCCTTTCTTTAATAGCATGCTTGGGCATTAATCCTACGTTACACACTCTAACGAACAAGTACCGTCATTTCAAGCAACTTGCAGTTAGTTTTGGGTAAAAACCCCAAAACCAATTTTCATTCTTTTTCAAAGTTACTTTATAATTTTTTCTTCGCATACCTTTTTGTGGGTCAAAGGTTAGTCCAGGTAGTTCTTATAAAGACGTGAGCGGCTCCACTACCTGCCTTTGACTGTTGTCCTTGCTGTGGAAACTACTGGGGATGTAGGGTAGGGAAAAGAGCTTTTAGAGATCTCCTGGGTGTGGAAGAGAAGGAGCAAAGAACATCACAATCTGGAAAGAAGCTCAGAGAGACTGACCAGCAAAGGGGGCAAGTAGCCAGGTTAAAGAGGCCAGGCCAGCAAAAAGACCCTTCAGGCCTCAAATACTTTCCCCTGCACGAACTGCTTTCCTTATTTCTGAATGCTATGAGCTAAACATTTGAGTAAATACATTACTTAAAAAAAAATAGTTTCAATAGGGTTATGGGAGGTCATCAGTTATTCATGCTTTAGGAGAAAACGGGTCAATTACGCAGAGATGAACTGTACAAAGGAAATGGACATTTTACTGAAAGGAAAAGAAGGGTGGGTAATTTCCAAGTATAGAGCAATTTGAGCTGTGGAACAACAGCAAGCTTGGGGAGGGTGCCACTGGGGAGTTTAGGGTAGCATGACTGGACACTTGAGGGCTTGAAGAAAAGGCTATTGGGTGTGAGGATGGAGAAGAAAGGGAGGGAGAGCATTCCAAGACAAATTGCTTTTCAAAAATAGCAGGGCTAGTCTCTAGTCCAGGAAAAAGGAAGAAATCTCCTTCTTATATGTTTATCTTATCTTACTCCTATGAGTGGAAGCAATAATAATAATAATAACTGTGGATTAAATAGATTTTTTTGTCTGGGTACCTGTGACCATCTGTAACACCATAGGAGAATGAATTTGGAGGTCCAACTTTTTTCACTTCTCAAGTTTTAGAACATAAGTTTTCATAAATTTAGGGATACCTCCCCTCAATTTGCATGAACTGACTTCATCTGAAAATTACTTATGAATGCAGTAGCACAACATGCCAGCATATTTTAAGAAAAATTACAAAAATAATACATAAATTACAAAGCATAATAATGTTATCTTTCAAAAATCCTAGCAAGAAACTAGTTTGAGGGAATACTAATAGTCAATTGCTAGTTAACATTACTAGCATTACTAATACTACTAATTATTAGTTAACATTAATTACTAATATTAATAATATATAATACATGAGTATGTAGCATACATTTCTTTTGCTATGGAAATATGCTGTCATAGTAATTCTTTTAACAAATAAATGTATGTGTCTACTAGGTACAAAACACAGTTTAATATCTTTCATTTGATTGAAAACAAAATATGATAAAACAAAAAAGGCAAGAAACAAAAACACAGAGCCAGATAATTGGGATGTCTGAAATACTGCAAACATCTTTTACTGCATTTAATCTATACAGGACTAATAAATACAGAAGTGGTTGTGAACAAATGGATTTTTATTGCCTGCAAGCTCTTATACTTAGGAGTAGGAGAATATGTTGACGGAAGCACACCTTGCTACCCTATAACTTGGGATTTTGTATACTTGAAAGAAGAAATGTTGAGAATGGAACAAAACACGAACCCATTGGATAATCTAGTCTATATTTGAGTTTGGCATTCTTTTAAGCCCAGGAAGATACCTGCAGATAAATTCAAAGTACTAAGAACCAAGGTTAAAGTTTTATACACATCACAACGATGGCAAATTAAGTACAAAACAAACATTTCACATAAATTATAAACTGTAAGGTACACACCATTTTAACGAGGGTACAATAGAGTTGGCGCAGTGATTAGAAGTGGCTTCTCACAATGCTGTATTATGAGAAATACACATCTCACTTCACATACCCGACATTATTTTGATGTGATTACAGAAAAGAAGCTCAAATCTTAAAAAATGTTCATATTCCAATCACAAACAGAGCCAAAGTTCATTTTTAGGTTCAGCTACACAAAAGAGAATGATTTTCTTCAAAAAAATACTTGGCATTTTCCTCATTAACTCTGCTTCCAGGTTTACTTTTTAAAGAAATGCAAGCATTTTTATTTGGTCAAGACAACAAATGCAATCACATGGACAAAATACAAAAAGCATAATGTCAATCCAGGAACTCCTCTCTTCTCCAGAGGCTGTGTGTTATCAGCCTTCTTCTTCTTCATCACTGTCTTTCATAGTAATGCCCTGAAGTCCTCCTCCTTCTGAAACAGAGGCTGTGGCCTCTTCTACTGTTAAGCGTCTGTGCAGAGTATCATATGTCTTACTGTTCAGTGTTCCTTCCAACACACCCTGCAATCGGAAGTCCCTGTAGGTTTTCTGAGGGAAGAAGAGAGAATTTGTTTAGATAACTTAGATTATGTGTACACATATATGTATGTTTATATGTATAGGTATATGTACTCAGACATTTAAAAAATGATCTTGGGCCACTAATGTGTTCATATGGCTGCCGTGTTAATCATCTTGTTGGTTTCTCCCCAGAATTACTTCTAGGGAGAAAATGGAATGAGAAGCTTTGGATAGTGCTATTCAAACTACAATCACTATGAATAGATCACAATGTTGTGACTATCAGATGACAAATTAACTTTCCCCCCCAAACATTACTAATTAATTGCACAGAATTTACTATTTGAATGAGCTATAGCAAAAACAAAATGATATGTACTTATGCAAGTCTTTAAAAATGAATTCTTAGTTTTTTAAATTGAGGAGCTTTCCTTTATTACTAAAAAGTGTGTTTCATTTTATAAAATACATTAGTTTTGGGGGGCAGGTGTGTGAAAGGAAAGGATTAATCCTGTTATCAGTAAAAGAAATTCACATTTTCAGTATTTGTGAATTACAAAATAATTTATAAGTATCTATGAATAAAAATTTGTGTACACCTAAATGTCTGTATGAATTTTGGCCTTTCCTATTGCAATTCTCTTGTAATATGAAGTGCCACATTCTGACATAAAGCTTCCATAGATGGGATAATAAAAGGAGTATTTACACTTTTTTGTGAAACAATAAATTACAATTGGGTATATTACATATCAAAAAATGGAGCAAATACCATGTTATTGTTTCTACAGTGATTCTTAAAACAATAAAACCCAACAAAACTCTTCTGTGACACTGAAAATATTAACTTATAAAACTTTCCTTATGTTCACTTTTTAAACTGCTATTTTCTTCATATATAATTTCCATGGCTAAACCAAGACTGGTATTTTATTATTATTGATTTTTAAAGCAGGAGAAAAAGTCAAGAGTTAGTAAATGGGGAAACAAAGAAGATACCCCATTCTGTGGAAGCATTTCTAAGGCTATTTTAATGCTCAATATCTTTCAAGATTCTTCTACTCTTCTATGTCAGATTTAGAATATTAAACAAACTTCAATGGACTGGCCCAAAATATCAGTACATATTCATATGCCACTACTCTTTTCAAAGTGATGGCTAGCAGCCACATTTTTCTTGTTGTTGTTTGCACTTAACAGATGAAAAAAGTCAAAGAAGAAGAAATACTGTACTTCATGGCCCAATATCATAACTCCAATAGCTGAAAATTAAAGTTAAGAGAGCCTGATTTCACTGAACACAGAAGTGTTCATAATGCTTATAACATTCAGAAAATATTATAACATTAAGATATTTGAGCTGAAGGTACTTATTCACATGAGGTGAGAAGCACTGATAGAGGACATCCTAATCCCCTCAATATACACACCTTGCCTTTACTAACAGCCTTCTGGCAAGAAGTAGAACCACTACAAGGCAGTGGGACCATTCATATTTTCACATATTATCCTTCTGTCTTCTTCTACCTAACTTATGCCTCACAATATCATTTCAAGTTTCAGAAATGATATGTCAATAATAAGACTGGAGAATGAATAATATATATTTTTTTCCTTTGGACAGTCCCTTGATATAAATTAATATTTGAAAAGTCTACCACATGTCCAAAAATAAACTGAACTCTGAAGAAGACTGCACCGTATCTGAGTTCAGTGTCTCCGTTGCAAGTAAAATTGAGATTCAAAGAGTAATTCTTTTCTTAAGTGATCAAACATATTTTTACTTAGTATTTTAACAGTGTATTTTAAGGCACATACAATCCACCATGTTTATATTCTCTTATTCTCTTTCTCAGTCATAAGTTATATGACTAAGGTGGTAATCTCTTATACCAAAACTCATGGTAATTTGTATCAGACCAGGGAAGTAACTCTGAAAAGTAAGTTTTGCCTAGATAATCTGGTAACGAGTATACAAGGCATTATTACCATAGAGATTTGTGTTTATTCCTGTAACTGACTTGTAATTAGATTAAAAACGTGAAACGCACAAAATATTCATCTATAGATGATACATCTAATATTAAAGTATTGTCCCCTTGACAATGATACACTGAGTTTGTGAGCTTGACTTTTCTTTGGTTTAGATTATCAATAAATTGGCCAGGATAGATTTGAATTGTAGATTTGCAGTCTTGAAGCCTTATTCTATTTGCAAGCAATAACCAGTTATGTGAGTTTCAGGGCAGAAAATCCTTGCAAAATCTCTCTCTCTCTCATAAAATGTTATTAACACTTGGGCATTTTCTGTGGCTTCCACAAAGGTTTGGTTGGCTCTTATTTAAGTTAAATGCCTGCCACAGGGTGCTATTCACTTGTCTTCTTTTCGCCTAGCAAAAGAAACAGCTGATTTATGTTAACTGCTTTTAAATGTCATATGGTCACTAGAAAGAACACAAATCCAACAACCATTTCGATTATTTGAAGATCCTACCTTCTCCCCTCACCCCCAAATAAATCATTCTGATGTTAAAATTCAAAAATAATTTCATAGTCCTTAAATTTTTCTGGAAAGCTTACTGGGATTTGTGGGTTTTTTTTGCATGAGCAACATGAATGAGCCAATTAGTGTGTAAATTATCTTTGTAGGGCAAAATTGGGTATTATATAAATTTTGATGATGTCTGGGTTTCCATGGGCATAGAAGAATGACAATGCCTATGAGTAGTAGGCACTAGACTGCTACAGTCAAGTAGCTTGGATTCTGGGTAGAACACACAACTCTATTACAATATGCAGGCCAAGTCTAAGTGGAAGGAAAGCCTGGGTATGGGACTTAACAATTCTATATATGTGTTATTTCATGGCTTCTTAAATTCACTGGAAAATGATTATTATGAACAAAACCATACCAGTTCTGAAGAATAATGAATCTATGTATGAAACTGTCTAAAGTCTGTTTATATTCAAAGTAGAAAAAACAACTAGAACATTAAATTATTAATTCACCTTGATTTTCATTGTGAAAATAATCATTTAAAATTATTAAATAGAGCCCTATAACTTGATTAAGTGTATCAGCCCAAGAAAGCATTAGCTGAGCCTGAGGACTTGCTTGTGAAAAGCAAACATATTCATGACATTTACTTTCATATTTATCAGTCTTGACTACTGACAGCCCTAATGAAGGCTATCTCAAAATAAGATATAAACTGATTGGCTTAGAGTACAATGGATATTTCCTCATATACTTCATTAAATTATTAATTGTTCTTTTATGCTAAAATATGCAGTGGTGAGAATACTTAAGATCTACTTTCTTAGAAAGTTTCAAATATACATTATTAACTATAGACACATCACTTATCTTGAAGGTATACAATTTTTACTTGTCAATTATACCTCAATAAAACTGAAAAAATTCCACTAGTGCTTAGATGTATGAATGAGAAAAGGAATAACTATGAAAGAAATAAACGATAGGATAATAACATTTGGAGATTTTTATTTTCTAAACAAAGAGCTTAACAATCTCTCAACGAATACTTGTTGGCTAAATATGTAATTTCTGACATCCTGAACACAGTAGGCATTAACTTGAAAACATGGCTTATCATAAAGATAACCAGTTAATATTAATCACCATATAGAATACAACCTTAACATATATTTAGAAGGTAAATACATTATCCTGATTCTCTTTTATGAAAAACAACCTTCATTTGAAGGCTCTTAAAGTCACACTTAGAGAAACAATGAAGAAACAATAAATAGAGAATTAAGCCAAATATGAACGTATCAAGTTGTTCCTTCAGTTTCTTTGCAAAATAAATAACACCAGGTAAGAAGTGTTCTGGATCAAAGATATTGTCTACATTGACATGTAATGTATAGCTATAGTATTAAATTTTTGTGGGTGGCTACAATTTGACTTGTTATTTATGACTAAGCATGATTGCTATTATTGTGACATTATAGGTCTAGTTCTATGTTCCAGTAGACTTGCCAATTTCTGACTTTGGAACAGAATTTCCTACTTGTAAGCCTTTCTAACAAGACAACAAGTGTGTCTATGGCATAAAAGAATTTGTATTCTAATTAAACTTCAGGAACCAGGAGAAAAATGGAAAATATCTTAAGGTAGAAAGAAATTTCTTTTAATGGCACATATAACGTAGTAATTCTTTGCAAACTTTAGCATGTATTATAATCATCTAGAGGGCTGGTTAATATATAGATTGCTGGGTCCCACCCTCTGAGTTTCTGAATCATTAGGTCTGGGGTGGGGCCCAAGAAGGTGTGGTTCTAACAGGTTCCCAGGAGATGTTGATAATACTAGGTCAGAATGACCAGAGTGACTTTGAGAACCACTCTGTATGTGTGTGGGTATATTCATATATACACATACATACACTTTAGTACACATTATATACATTATTTGTATGGGCACACACAAGTGAACCATTAGTAAATGGTACTAAAATGGAAGTAAAGGTCTTCTATTTAAAGGAAAAATTGATTCTCGATAGCTTAGAGTTATGTTTTCAGCCATAAGGTGGAATTTCTGTCTCAATTATAAGAAAAGGTTAAATTGGGGTAAATTTTGTGCTTCCACTAGAACTTACAAAGTGTGAAAAATCATGTTGAATAAATATATTATTTTAGAGCCCTTACTTACATGACATCTGTGTTAGTAGTTTTGGACAGTCTTCACACTCAAACTGATTATCTTTTACATATAAGAAGGAACATTTTTTCAAAAGAATTCAGGCAGTGATAATGTATTGCTTTTGCACCAGGATATAATAAAATAACAGAGACTCCTTATTCTCTTGGCAAATACAGTTCAAAAGCCCTCATAATGACATATGATACTAATAAATATAAAGTAAATATATTATGAGAAGACATTTATATATATAAGACAATGCAAAATTATTATGGACCTACTACATTCAGGTAAATGTGCTAGCAGCTTTATATACATAATCTTAAAATGTGATTACTTGCTAGCAAATATTTGTTTATTAATGCAAAAAGGTAAATTTATGTTTATTTAGCAATCTAACTGAAAGTGGAAGTTAAACAGCTACAGATCATTGCTAATAAGTGATGCTTTTTAAGTACTTAGATTCACTCAGTGATATCAAATAGGATTTTCTTGTATGTCAATATCTTCCCATTATTCTTTATAACTTGGTGGGCAATTCACATCTAAACACATTTTGTTTACCTTCACAATCTTGATGAGCGTCTTCAGTTGGTAAATATGAAGCTGGAGGTCTAATCTATCAGCCAACCACAGGCAAATGACTTTCATGGAACTGCTGTACCATTGCTGGAAAGAAGGGTTGGGGCAGAGGGGAGGAGGACAGAAAAGAAAACAACCTCTGCAGTATTCATTTAACAGATTCGGTAATGAGGGGGTAATGAAACACTCTGAAATGACCACAGATCAGCACTTGAAGTCAATAATGCTGTAATTTCCTGTTAACAGAATTGTATGTTTTGCTAGAAAATCTGCTAAATTGACCTAGGCTGTTCTTTCCATGAATTAACATTACAGTCTTTCAGCTGTAACATATTCATGGAAACAGTGTTTTTGCACTTTACAGCCTAGTGGCCTGCTTTGTAATTTGTAGGTAACAATGGGTACTAAATACATGTTATGGGACTAAATGGATGGCCAAGCAGCAGGAAAAAAGAGGTAAATTATTTTCAAAAGAAAATTTTCTGTTAGTCTGCATGTTAAGTAAAAATCAAAAAGATCTGTTATGCCATAAGGCATGCACTAAAAACCTAAAAATAATATTTTAAGGGAGTGATGGCAAAAAATATCCACAACTTACTAAACGGTAATCCCCATTCACACCTTTACCTACTATTGGTTTTTAAGTATTTGCCAAGACACTGTAAAGCCATGTAAAATAAAGATTTATTGAGATCTTAAGAAGGAACATTATCAAGATGGAGTTCCTATGTATCATAAGAATCTCAAAATAGGTGTCAGTTGACCAAATTATGAAAGGAAACAATCTGTTTCATTTTATGTTTTTGGAGGGTTCATAATTTTTCTGTTTTTTACAACTCCTTTAAGGGAAAACCAGAAATTATTTTCTAATGCAACTTCCTGCTCCTATATAATGTCTGTGATTATGGTAAAAGAAGAAATTTTGTCCCTATTTTTAACAAAAGGCAATCTGCCATCAGAGGTGACATTTTAAGGGATTCACTGATGATATGCCAGAGCTAGGTTTAGGTAATACTGTAAGAATAATGCTACTCATTCAGAAAACTGTGAGAAATAGCAACATACCTTCAACACTTAAGAAATTACAAAAGAGTTTTTGAAAGAGAAGGGATTTTGTGCCTTGCTTATATACACAAACCTAGTGACAGTCCAGATCATATATGTGTGTGTATATGTTCTTAGGTATTCAAACACAGAAAAAAAATCTAAAAATAAATTTTTCTCCACATAATAAAACAGTATATTCAACATCTAAGCATAATCTTAAGTGATCCAAGTCTTAAATTCATCTGGATTTGTATTTGTTAACATTGTTCTAATATGATTTGTTATAGTAAGAAATGGTATTTTAAGTATAAATTAAAAATGAGTTTCACATTTCATCACACTATTTCTATTAATTTGTTAGTATACCGACCATAGATGCATAAAATGAGATAAGCTAATTAAAAGTGAATAAATGATTTATTAAATAATATCAATCAAATGGATGAATAAAAATGTCAAATTTTTTAAATGTGGGACTGTGATTTTTAAAAAATATGCTATTCATATACCTAATTTCACTCCTTCCTCATGATTACTTTCTTAATTTTCAGGATATGTAAAAATATCAGCAATATGTTTTATAAAATAAGACACCTACACAACTAAATTCTTAAAATATAAACTGCTAGTAAATTCAGCTGATATGTTAAATCTCAAAATATTTCACAGACACTCACTCACTTTAATTTCTGACATCATTTAAATTCTATCCTTATTTCAAATTATAAAATAATTTGAAGTCTTAACTTCTTAAGTTCTATTTTAATATAGGTAAATCCTCACAAGTGTTGCTGATATAGAATATGAGTATACTGAATTAGGAACCCTGCCTCCTCAAGATAATTTGAAAGCTAAAATGTTGTCAGAATGGATGCAACTCTTAAAAATTACAGTCCTTCAGCAAAGGATAGTAAATTTTTCTTTTTTGTTGAGGGAGAGAAAATATTATACATTGTACAGTGGCTAGCATCATAAACTAATCTGTTTGTTAGACTGTAGAGTTACTATGTTCATGGTAAGTTATATAAATTTGAGAGAAATGAAAATATTTTCTTAAAATTATTCCATATGCATCTTTATGTTCTTAAAAATCCTTACATGATTTAAAATTAATTTAACTTTATTTTCTCAGTAAATGGTATTTATGATTCAGGACATGTAATGTAACAGAAATTATTAATATAACATCTTTAACACAATGCCAAAATTATAATTTTAGAGAAAAAGAATTTGGGAATAAAATGATCTAAAGTTAATGATCAAAACAGAGAAAAAGAGAGCCCTTGTTAGGTAAAATGTTTAAGCTACTTTCTTATCATCTTAATTTGAAGGCAAATAAATTGTTCTATATGAAAAAGTCTCTAAGAAAAATTATCTTATAAGAATGCATATTTTTGGTCCCTAAGTCAAAGCACTTTGAAAAGGAATTTCAGCTAAATTAAGCAAATGATTAAGGGAAAGCAGTAGCTTAGCTCAGAGTGTATGCTGCCACTAAGAATAGGCTAACAAAAAAATGCCACTACGACTGTTTCTTTTTTGTATATGGTTAAACTCGAACACACACACACACACACACACACACACACACACACTCCTCGAACAAACAAACAAAGCCACCAAATAGAAACCTCTAGTGCTTTCTTATTTCTGGTGCTGGAATTAATATGTCCTTCTTTTGACTACTGAATATGGTAGGTCCCATTTTTTCATGTTGAGAAAAAAGTCAAAGGTTGGTTACTTTCATTCTCTGCCTCCCCCGACCCCACCAAACCAAATCAACCTCCCCAAAACAATTTGAAAAGGGTGAATGTGCAGTAAAGTCTGTATGTAGGAACTGTCTTCTCATTTTGGAAAAGTTAATTTTATCAAACAACTTGGTTGACTATCCACTTTTCCCTTCAGGGGACGACAAGGAAGGGCACTGCGGCTTGCACTGAAGTCATGGGTACGGCATTACTGCTTTATTCTTTGCTTTGGTCTACACAGGAATCAAGCAATAAGTGTATATTTTACAATTTTTTTCTACATCAATCCATGACCGCAGCCTACCACTTTAGCAAAAAAATATTTTTTTTCCCCTTCTTTTTGTAGTTCATTCAACTCCTGTAAGGGCATGCGTTACTCACTTCATTTTCTTGAGATATCTCTTTTAAAGCAAAAAATAGAAGAAAAGGAAAGGCTAGGGTTGACTCTGTGAGACCCCTGTATTTATTCACACTTATTGTGCATGACTGTAGACTGGTAAATCATATTAGCAGCCCGTCTCCCCATCAAGCTGCTACTTGCTTTCCAGCCCTGGGAAGGCTCAACAAATCAACAGGAGCACGGAAAACAGAACATCAGTCTAATCTAGTGTTTAAGGTGAAGTTTTCAAACCCAATCTAAGAAGATCTTTAGAGCAAGCAACAAGCTGAAGGGCTCAGAAGGTGGTATTGACAATGAAAGAGTGTTGAAATATTGAGAAGCGCAGCACTTGTGCATTTTTAATAACAAGAGGGTCAACAAGGACATAGCTCCCTCAGTGCCAGGAGTTGCCACTGACTATGGAAATTGCCACACCAGGGCTATAAATGCTTGCAGTTCATCAGCTTTCTTAAACAGTTCATCAGCTTTCTTAAACACCCCGAACCCCCTCAGTGGACCTTTAGTCTTGAATTAACAAACCAAAGCAATGAAAGAGGGTGCAGTCTGAATGGCTGGCATTGATCCCCAACTGTGTCAGCACTGCTACAGGCCCTGAAAAACTCTCTCCATTGTCAATAGAAATTGACAAACCTCCTCTCCTAAATAGTGCAGCTGAGCCGGGCGGGATCCACGCAGCTGTAAAGGGCTCTGCTCTTGGGGCCAGGGAGCACTAACAATAGAACAAGCATGAGCTCTTTGTCAGTCCCAGACTCGGCAATTTTCTAACAAGGATTAAAGTTGTTTCTCCGCAGAGCTGGTGAAAAGAGATTTAGCAACATACCGTGCTTTCTTCATGCAAGTTAAAGAGAAGTAGTTAAGGAATTTCACTATTCTGTTGAAGAGTGGAAATACAAAACAAATATATTAAATATGCACAACTCCCCCTTGTTTTTGCCTAATTTATAACATTTTGAGGATGATTCAATTAAATATAACACTCATCGCCTGGAAACAAGTACTTCACATTTATTTTGGAAGTTTTATTTCAAAAAAAGTCCAGCTGCTTGCCACCTGGAATGAGGTCTCAATACATACTAATGCACAATGCCTTTAGACCCTCTAAGGCTGATATTCCTAAATCTGAATCACAAGACCCCATAGGGTTTATATATCGCCGCTGCTTCAAGCAAATGATTTCTGTCAGAATGCGGCTTCTGATGATGATGGCAAGGTAAAAATAGCTGCTTTGCTAGGGCACAAATCTGTGATTTATTTTCTGCTTAACTGTTTAGCTTTTTATTGATTATGAATGGGTACAACTAGTTGATATATTTTTATTCTTCTCCAGCTATGCTTGTCTCAAGAGGTGAACGACAGGGTGGAAAAAAAAGAATCAACACTTTTTAGTGCAGTAAGATATGGGATAGCTAAATTTCCACATTATGAATGTATTTCTTCATTTATGTCAAGAGAAGCTATTTGAAAAGAATTGAGTCACTGTGTTGAGATAACACCTAGAAAATCTCACCTAGAAAACAAGTACTTTAAAATGTAAAGTTAAATTGAATAAAAGAACAATATTTTTTTCAATGCTGATGGTTTTGATAGATTCAATAAATATAAGACATCCTTTAGGATCATTTAGTAGCTTTAGAGAAAAACAAAATGTTCAGAAACATTAATGCCCTACAGATTCACCCTTATATTAAAAAGTAAATATAAATGCTTCAATATACGTTGAGTGTTCATTTTGTCAATAGTACACCTATTTAATATAACTAAATTCATGGCTCTATTTCACTCACTTCCCATTTCTGAACACTAAAATGCAGATTTTATATTAATAGTGGATTTGATACAATAATGCCAGGTTTTCCCCTCTACTCAAGGCATCTCACTGAAACTATCATATCTGG